GTCTTACCCAGGATACAGATGTAGTTTATCGTCATATCCAAGACGGTGTTTCAAAAAGATGGCAGCAATGACACGTTTAATTCTTAGCTGCCCAATAAAAGTGGTGGGTCTTAATAATAAGGGGTTTGGAATTTTTCCCAATATACATAAAAAGTAGATTATTAATAAAAGAGAAGGTTGGAAAATCATTTTAAGTCAATAAATGGGTGGGTGGAGGTAATTTCCTCAAGTCAGTAAGTGTGTGTGTGTGTGTTTGTGTTGTGTGTGTGGGGGGTATTTTCCTCAAGTCAATAAGGGGGGGGTTATTTTTCCTCAAGTCTATAAGTGGGGGTTAATTTCCTCAAGTCAATATGTGGGGGTTAATTTCCTAAAGTCAGTAAGTGGGGAGTTATTTTTTCAAGTCAATAAATAGGAGAGTTAATTTCCTCAAGTCAATAAGGTTGGGGGTAACTTCCTCAAGTCAATAAGTGGTGGGTAAATTTCCCTCAAGTCTTTAAGTGGGGGGTTTAATTTCCTCAAGTCAGTATGTGGGGGTTAATTTCCTAAAGTCAGTAAGTGGGGATTAATTTCCTCAAGTCAATAAAGGGGGTGGTAATTTTCAAGTCAATAAGTGGGGGTTAATTTCCTCATGTCAATAAGTGGGGGGTAAATTTCCTCAAGTCAATAAGTGATGAGGTTAATTTCCCAAGTCAATTAGTTGGGCGTGTGTAATTTCCTCAAAAGAAATACCTTCTCACCTTCTATTAGGCATTTAAGAGTATAAACATATGATGTAAATATTTTATTGTATCATTTTTAAAATTAAGGTGAAATATTTATCTGAAGTCAAGAACAGTGAGATTAAAATAAATTATTCATAGAAAATAGGTAATCATTGGAAAGTATAAGAGTTTAATATAGCATCTCTTGTTACAAAGAATTGACATCACCTTACTGAGGATGACAAGTGATAAATAGGTTGAATCATTTGTCACTGATTTAGCATAACGCAGCAGCAATCGAATGTTAAATCTCCTTTTATAAATAGCTATGAATAATGCTCTGATTTTTAGCTATGTTTCTAAGGGGTTGCTGAAAAGTTCTCAGTCCAAAGCACTTCCAAAATGCTGACCAAATGATTGTAAATCAGAATTTCTTTTGGAATCCAGGATTCTGAACTCTCCTAAAAAAACAACTTTGATCATTCCGAAAACAAATTTCAAACATTCAAAATGAAAATGTTTTGTTTTTATTATTATTTGTTATTTCTAACATTATTACATTTATAACTGGTTGCAGCATAATAATGACTCCATTAAAATGTTCAGGAAATAAATTAAAAAAGTTAAAATATTAAAGTTTTAAAAATTAGTTATATTTTACAGTAAGTTTTATAACAATAAATCATTTTTATATGATATCTATTAATGAAGTAATGTTCTATTCTCCCTGGATGATGTCAGTCTCAAACTTTGTTGGAATTCCTTCTCAATCCAGCTAAGAACCTTTCAGCACTCATTCATATATACAGATCCCATACTTGTTGGTTGATGAATGTCCTGCATTTAAAAGAAAAGCTAGTAATGACAGATTTTAAAAACTATACAGTAATATTTTAAAATGTTAAAGCAAAAATCAGACATGATTGTCATTGTGCATAGAAAGTAGTTGACTATTTGAAAGTAAGAAATGATATAAAATACAATAAGCCATTTACTATGTTGACCTACTATGATCTTCTCCATCTTTAGTGGCCGCTATGGGAATAACAACTTGTAGAAAAGAATGCTAATGGGGACTTAAAAGATGTCTATATTAATGATATTCTTGCCATACATTTTAAGGAAAATTTTAAAAGTCTATATAAATTAAGATTTGGCAAAATTAACAAATTTGATAGATTCAAATTATAGTGAATGCATTATTTGAACATATTCTGTTAATTAATAAGTTTCAGATAAAAATAAAAATCTCTTTTTATTGAAATTTATTAATAAAATAGGATATCCCATTTAATTAACTTATAATTTATGTGGAAATAAAAAATTACACAGCATTTAAAATAAATACAAAATTATTAAACTGCAAATTTTCAGCATATATAGTTATTAAGCTATTTAAAATGTTATACCCTTTAAGTAACACATATTCAAATTGAGCCAAATTGAGCATTTTCATGTTAAATATATGCATGAATTTTATGTTTACTACTACATCTACATGCCAGAAATAAATAAAGTACAATGTATGGAGTAAGCAGTCCACAGGATAGTTTACTTAGACTATCCTATGGACTGCATATTTCATACATTGTACTTTATTTATTCCTGGCATGTGGATGTAGTAGTAAACATAAGTTGAATCAATGTAGTAAGAGGAGTTGTTAAGAAATCTTTCTGTGTCTAGTCTATTTCTTGAGTATAAAAATAGCCTTCATAAGAATACAGGACTAAAAAAAACGTTTTTTTACCACCTCAGCCTTCCCCATTCTTTTCAGTTTTCTTTTATTGTTTTAATTTTTTTTATAATCTTCACTTTCCTTTTGATAGTAATCTTTTTATTTCACTTTTGTATTTATTGGCACTTACTTTGATTATTCAGGGATTTCATATTTTATAAATACAAATACTTTTGATACACAAGAATTTAACTCCAATTTAAAATCAGTTTTTCATGTTCAAGATATAGCAACTACCCATTCTAATTAAACTCGTCAATCAGTAATTGAAATTCTCCTGCCTATAAGTTGTACTGTGTTTTTATCAAGTGGAAGTGGCAGAAATGTTACTGTTTAAAAAGAAATAATTTTTTTAAAACATTTCACTACAAGCAAGGCAATAATGCCACTAAGGCACAGGGTATTACTGGGAGTGAAAGAGAATGGGAAAACTTTAGTGAGGAAAAATGAAAATGAAAAGAACATGTTTCAGGAAAAGACAGATGTCAATTTTTGAAGATTGTAGGTGGTAAGAAAGCAAGAAACCAGAAGAGAGTTCCACAGGTGAGAAGTGCAAGAAAAGAATCTATTAGAATAGAACATACAGTTACATCTAGCTTGTTCAGCAGTAAAACAATGAGACCTAATTGCCAGTCTAGTAGTACACTTAAATTCATGCAGCAGAGGCACCAGTTTGGAAAGCTAATCATGACAATAGCCATGACAATATTTACATAAAAGTCAGAGGGAAGCCATGTCACTGTGGGGGAAAAGTAATTGAATTCAAGACATCAGGTCATAATCGATTACATTACAGACCCTTCTTTGGATTTTGCTAAAAATCTTGAGATATATAGCAGGAGTACCAGGCTAGATATGGTAGCAATATTCAGTGCATGGCCAAATGGGAGATTTATAAATGTTCAAGATGGATTCTGACGAAAAAAATTATCTGGCTTGACACCAAAGAAAGAGAAAAAATCTATTAGGTTTTATCTGTCATCTTGACAGCATTCTATCCAAAATATAAATTAGTTTTAAAAGTAAAGGATAGAGAATATCAATGGTAATTCTTCATTGAAATCTCAAAACAATTTACATTTTAAAGAATTTGAGAATGTCCATTTTGTTTTTCTAAACCTTCCATAAGAAATGGGAATATAAAGAGAAGAATTCTGAACTTCTATGTAATATCAGCCCTCCTATACATATATTTTTTAATCAATTCACCCCAAGCAAGGCAATAATGCCAATAAGACGCAAGCGGATACTGGGAGTGAAAGAAAATAAAAAGACTTTAGAAAGAACATGAAACCCAATCTTAAACAAGAAACAAGGGATAAACCTCTACACCTGTTCAAAAGACAGGAGAGAGGTGTGAACTTGGGAGATAGACAAATTTATCTCCTCCTAGTGATTACTGGACAATCTACTCACAAATGAAGAGAAGACTTGAGGCAACAGAGATGTGATTTCCCAGAAGGTTATTGAGAATACCATGGGTGGAGCATGTAAGCACTGAGGAAGTTTTAAGGAAAATGGAAACAAAAAGGAAAAGAAATATTTGAAATTCCTGAGACATATAATAAGGAAAGAAGGCTTGGGGAATTTGATACTCACAAGACATATTGAAAGTAAGGGAGACAGAGGAAACCTATCTAATGTGCTTATATAAATGGTTTGGTTTGGTTTGTTTTTCAGCATATCACCCTCAATGGGTTATTTAATGCTGACAAGATTTTTATTGATGGTAATATCTTTTTCAAAAATGTACTGTTGGTAATATTTTTTCTAAAAATGTACTGCTGGTAATAATTTTTTTTAAATGTACTGCTGGTAATAATGTATTGCAAGGAATAATTTTTTCTTCAAAAATGTATTGCTGGTAATAATTTTTTAAAATGTACTGCTGGTAATAATGTATTGCAAGGAATAATTTTTTCTCCAAAAATGTATTGCTGGTAATAATTTTTCCAAAAAAGTATTGCTGATATTAAAACCTACTTTTATACTTTCATAGTGTTTTGACCCTTTTTGGGGAGTTAACTATTTGCCCATAGCTGGGACCCTATAACAAGTGCTACCACCCTGGGTCAGGATGGACATGGGAGCATCAGAAATTAAGAGGTGGTTCCACACTCCTAAAAACCTCCTGATCAAAGGCCTTGCTGTTGGATGTAGTTTATCATCATACCCAGGACGCTTATATAAATGGATTGCAGAATGAAGATGGGAAGGATAGTAAAAAGACAACTATTGCTAAGATTTTCAAAATATAGGAAGTTGTGGAGAGATATGATTGCTTACGTCCTGAAGGGACATGGTACACACAAGAAATTTTGTGCAGCTGAAAAAAAATATGTATTGAGCTATTTATTCATTGATGAATTATGAAAATAGAATAAAAGACAAAGTGGTAATAACAGTGATAATTTTGATGACAGCTAATAGATAAGATAATAATTATTTGTGAAACTACTAAAAATAGAATACAGATGCAATTTCTTTGATTAAATGCTTTTTACATAAAGGAAATTGTTTGTCCCTATGGATTTATGTTGTATTAAAATCCACTTAAATTCACTTGAGAACATATTGGGAATGACAGTGAACATGTCAACACAAGAATGTTCAGAAGAAAGGTGAAAGAAGTGCAGTTGACGTCACAGTTACTGTCGTTGTTATCATTAGCAATAATAGATGGCATAGAAAGATCATGCGAATAAGCCAATGGGAACTCTGAATTGTTGTCATGTGACTGTATCAGCAAATCAAAAAACAAACTGTTTTTAAATAATGTGCACTTTGCAGCAAATTTCCAGACATATTGTTGTACTATTAGTTTTTTTTTTTTAATGTATTTTATTTATCTGTGAAAGAAAGAAACAGAGAAAGAAAGAAGAGATAGAAAGAAAAAGAAAATTAGAAAAAAGAAACATAAAATAGGAAAAATGAACAGAAGTTGAGATTAAAATGTGAGAGTTTTGACAAAAGAAGGAAAAAAGAGAGTGAATGGGAAATGGATCAATAATGATGAAAAACGAAAAATATAAGGAAAATTTTGTAATTAAATACTGTCATTATCAACAAAAAATATAATTTTTTCACAAGTTTAACATATGATCTTTGCTTTCAGTTGAGTAGAGGAACTGGCTACCTTGCCACACCTTATATTGCAAGCTTGTCACTGGTATATGCCTCCAAAGTTGCCCAAAGTGTTGGTACAAAGACCCATACAAGAGGACACTAATGGTTGCTAGACTAGACCTCTAAACCTGGAAGGCAGAAACCATGGAATGCAAACATTGAAGAAACGCCTTAGAGGATGACACAGCAAGATTTGAAATACAGAGAAAAAAACTACATTGAAGAAAAGGAACAAAAAGGAAGACAGCAGGTAAAAATTTCGTTCTCTGGGAACATTTGCCTGTCTGCATTCTTTATGCCAATTCCAAGCAAGAATAATAAAAAAAAAACCAATAAAAAGACTTGAAACAACTCAGAAAAGAAAGGGTCTTGAAAAGTGAACTGAGACAAAAATTAACCAACCAAGATACAGTATTAGAAGTTAGTGTATGAAAGGAGGCCACACTAGAGGCCAAGATATCAGCAGTTAGCTGGTAAGAGATCAATAGTTGTCCCAAAGTTCAGATCCAGGTTTTAAAATAAGGAAAAGAATATTAATTTTGCAGTGGTTTACACTCATGTTAGTGAAATGGACTAATGCTTTATATCCACTTTTCAAGAGGTAAATAAAACTAATTTCATCTTGACTCTATGCACAAAGGTCCATCTTTATTTTTATTTTATATCTTTATTCCATTTCACATGTGTTTGTTCATTATTGCCAACCCCACTTTCAGGTACAGCAACAGCTGTCAACCACTGCTGAGAGAAACTAGAATGCATGTCAACTGCATGTAAACAAAACCAATTTTTCTAAACCACTACAATGGCTACTACATGCTACTAAAATATCACAGGGTCAAACTACTGGGTACTTTTGCTAGACCACTATACATGACCTATCACTAGAACAATCAATACTCCTGGATTGAATAAAGAGTTCAGTTCTAAATTTCAAGAAGGTTACCAAATATTACAAATATGTAATATATAAGGTTGAAGAATGTAAAGGTTGAAACATTGTGATGATAACAATGAAGATGAAGATAATAGTCCAAATAAATCTGTTTAATAATTTTATCTTCTTTATTACAATGTTAAATCCATAAACATTGTATAAAAAAATAGATTACAGGCAAAACTGGAACCTTTCACTTATACAGTTAATTCATTGTTTGGAAGTTTTACATGAATATCATATAAGATATAGGCATACAGAAATGTGGTTCTAAAGACAATATATAAATAATTTGCAGCATTGAGAAATTAGTTACCACTTTTTCTGGATTGTATATATCACATGGACTTCATAATATTAATTCAATTGTTCAAAATCTAAACCAGACATGCGAGTGCTGACAATTACTATTATAGAATGAACATTTGACTTACATACTGATATTCAGCCCTCATATTCAGATAAATAGATAGATATAGACAGGTGATAGATAGGTAAATATGAATAGAAAATAGATAGATAGATATATAGATAGATAGATAAGAATACATTGAGATACATACATAGATAAGAGTAGACTGAGATATATATATATATATATATATATATATATATATAGATAGATAGATAGATAGATAGACATTTTAAAGGGAATTAAAAACTCTTTTAGTGCAATATTTCCTCCAACACATCTACTTATTCATTACAATTTACTAATACATCTATTCATCCAATGTGGATACAAATATATTAAAGTGTAAAGCAACGTTTGTAAGCCTTTGTAACAAACTCTTTAAAAAAACCCCCAAAAAACAAAAGAGTAAATCTTAATAAAAACAACAAAAAGATCCTGGAAAATATGCATTATTCTCTTCTTTCATTAGAATATTTCCAGATTTTGATTTTGGGCTTTAAAGATACATTTTTTTTAAATGTATGTGTAAAGTTTATCATGCTTAAATGATACAGCTATAATAAATAGTGAATATAATAGATAAACAATATAATAAATAGTGAATATAAGGTGAATTAGGACTATTTTTATTAGGATTTTTGATTATCAGAAAGCAGATCAGATAAGCCAAAGGTAATCCACCAAGTGAGCAATTGTCTGTTGAGAAGGATGACAAAGACAATTCATTGAGATTTAGTTTCTTCAAAGGATTTACATTTCAGGTCAGTTAGCTTCAAAGATTAGTGTTTGCCATTGTTGGTTGTTCAATCAGTTGGCACAATCTGTAGTTACTTAATTAAAGAGACAGTGAGGAACTAAAATTTATAAAGTTTGATAGGTGCATGCTTTGTCTGTATATAACCTATCAATTTATCTGTTTAAATAGGCTCAGAGGCTAGTCCAAGCAAATGAAATGAGTATGAGTTTGTCTTCTGCAGCCAGAGCCTACTCTTAAATCTGGAATAGAAGGGTAGGTTTGAATAAAAAGATAAGTTAGAAAATTAATTCAAAATTAATTTGTTTTGATGAGGAGGCATGGTGGAGTAATGGATAGTGGCTCAGATTGAGGAATCGGAGAGCCGAGTTCGAATTCCAGTCGAATCCATTATGTCCACTTACATCCTAATACACTTGAGAAAAGTAAGAATCCTCTTTTTCTCCCCGCAGCTATGTGTAAATAGCAGGACAGACCGGGTTCTATAGCCTTGGGTGGCAACTGGTCTAGGAGAAGGACAACTCTGAATTCAAAACCTGACCCTCCTGGTTGGGGGTTGTGCAGTAGGTGAGCAACCCACTCACTTAGTTGCAAAATCCACAATGATATCTTGTGACCCTATGTGCCTCAAGGAATTTAAAACATTATATATATATATATATATATATATATATATATATATATATATATATATATATATATATAAAATTTGTTTTTCAAAACAAAAAAAACAATCAAAGAGGCTGAAATAAGCAGCTAATTTGGTAAAAGTGGAAAATACAATAAAGAGGGGTTCTGGAATAAAATTGTGTGAGTTGGAAAAAATTTTAATAGCTGGCCACATTTATTCCAGACACGAGAGTAGATAGATAATTTTAAGGAAAGGAATATTTTACATTTTTTTTAGATATATTTTCTCCAACAGATCTGTTTAAGCATTATGAAGGGATTGTAATGTATTCAAATAGTTAAAGATGTTCTTTTATCAGTCCCAATAAACTGGTGCTACAAAATCACAAAGAGTATTACCAAATAAAAAAATCCACAAAACTTCCAATAGCAACAATAACACAAAGAGAAATTAATGACACAATCAAGATGTTAACTTTCCACACTACCATAAACAAAAGGTTAGAAAGGAAACTGCTGTCAGTATTAGAAAGAACAATAACAGTGAACAGTGAAATCTGATTTCCTGAAAAACTAAAAAATTATTTCAATAAAAAGACTTTATAAATTTCAACTGACAGAACACTGGTCAAATTGAATTTTTCCTGAATGGAATCAGTTAATTTCAGCATTAGAATTATTGCTATTTTTGGTCACATAACTTGAGTATAGATAGAAAGATATCAGCAGAATTACATGGAGCAAGAGAGGGATAATATTATATGCAATTTGCTATAGAAACATACAGAGCCAATGCAAGCGTTTTGTGCTCCCTTCATCTATTATACAGGGCCCTCACTCCACTACATGTCAATTTTCATGAGTAGTATTTATATAAAATATAGAAAATTTATTGTAACCTAATTATGTACAATAATGGATCATATACAATATAGGGGAACAATTCAACTAGAAAAATTGAGAATAAATATATATCTAAAGACAAATTAGAGACATGTCATAATAGATCATTCCATAAACCAACAATCTTTTGCAGCAATTTTTAACATCAACTTAAAATCTTTCTTGTTAAAAAGTTGAATAATTTTAATGCATTCAATGTTATGGATAAAAAATATTGAATTTTAAATAATGTTTTTTTAGACTTAGCATGAGCAAACAAATTCATAGATTTGTCCGAAAAAAACATGAACCTTGGAATGATGTCAAAATCCATGAAAATTTTTCATCCTTTAAGAGTCTGTTGTGCTTAGTTAGCCCCCAATATATATATATATATATATATATATATATATATATATATATATATATATATATATCAAGATATATATATATAGGGAGAGAGAAAGAGAGAGAGAGAGCGATTGATATCAACTAAAGTAGATAGATAGATAGATAGATATAAGAAGTTGCTGAAATGTTCTCAGCTTGATACTTTCCCCAAAAAATATAAATAGTATCTTTTATATAGCAGTAGGATTTTTTATTTTGTTATTATTACATGAAGCATTTTTAACTATTATTCATTTTTGACTACCATGAAGGTAATACTGCTACTACTAATACAAAGATAAAAGCAAATATGGCACTGATAAAGATTGTGGAATAAAGTAATGAATTTATAGGTTTGAAGTGGCTTTCTAAAAAGCCATCAAGTTCTCACGGTTTATCACTTAAAAATGTTAGTGCATTCAATTTGACTTCCCTGAGGCAAAAAGGACATTGAGAGATAATCCTTCAGTCCTGATCATCTGCTGTATGTTCATTGCCATGGATTAGTGGCCTGAGTAATAATTGTGATAAAAAGAAAATAAAAAATTAAGATGAATGTAAATACTTCATAATAATAATAATAGTTGACAATGTTTCATCAAATAAAAATAAAATAAAAATTAAGATGAAGGTAAATACTAATAAAAAAAATGAAATAATATTGATTGACAATGATTCCTGTAACAAAAATAAAACCAAAATTAAGATGAAAGGAAATACTAGGCAATAATTAAATAATTAATGGTCGATAATGTTTCATCTAATAAAAATGAAATTAAAATTAAGATAGAATCAAATATTAATAAAAAATGAAATAATAATGATTGACAATGCTTCCTGTAATAAAAATTAAAATCAAAATTAAGATGGAGGTAAATAATAATAAAAAATTAAATAATAATGGTTAATAATGTTTAATCAACTAAAAACAAAATTAAGATGCAGATAAATACTAATAAAAAATTAAATAATGTTCGACAATAAAAATAATACTCTGTCTATATTTCTGACATGAGATATTATGTACACTATTTACATTATTTGGACTCTTGCCCTTATGTTTGTCGCCATATTTATTACAACGTTTCGGCCGTTGTATGCTCTGGCCTTCTTCAGGTGGTTGGAATGTTGAACTGAACTCTTTATTTCACTCACTGGGGTAGACTGTTCTAGTTCCATGTGCCATGTCTAATGGATGTCAGTTATCAGTTATCTCCTGTTTTTTCCCCTCTCCAAGTTCTCCACTGCCTTAACCAGGTATTGCACTCACACTCTTTGGGTCCAGTCATTGGATCTAACTAACGCCTTTATCCACTGTGCCATGTGTAATAAATATGTCAACAAAGATGAGGACAATAATCCGAATAATATAAATAGTAAAAATAATACTGATTTTACTTATTTTAGGTCACTCTATGAGTGCTAATAGTACCATGTAACATGAAGGTAATACTGCTACTACTAACACAGTACAATCTGTTACAAGGTTGGGTAAACAGTAACAAAACCATTTCCCTCACCAGGCTTTATTTTTAGTGAAGAGAGACTCTAGAAACTGAGCAGGATTAAAATAAACACCACCAAAGGGCAGGTGAACCTTCTTGTAGAGTCAACCACCATCTAGCACAATGAGGTCAACTGGGCTCCAGAGCTATGGATACAGACAGTTCAGTGATGATGATACAAAATTGCCAGGTGGAGGGTTACCTAGACTAATGTCAACATCCAGAGCAGATGGGTTTTCCTTATGAAATCAATGGCTATGTGTCCATGACCAAAGCCAGCTTTCAAGTTAGAGGGCATCATCTGTGGTTTGACCTGGAGAGGGATGGGCTCCACCAGGTCTACTTGCCCAAGACATGCTACACATGAATGATATCTGGAAGGAACTTGTCGACCAAAATATGTGGAGAGAACTGGTCACATTCTCAGCTGTGTAATGAATCAATTCATTGAATACACCCAGTCATGGTGTAGGATATTCAGCCATCCAGGTTTTTTTATATTAAGAATCTGAACATCTGAGTTCCAATAAAATAAAAATGGAAAAAACAAGGGTATACCTGTTAAATAAATAATTTGTATTTACAAACATATGTACATAAACTCAAGAGAGTCAGAAAGGAGTAAAAATAGTCTTTAGTTGAATTAAAGTCTTTGATCAGTTGGTACACAGAAAAATCTGAAGTTTAGAAAAGACTTTGAAATAGTTGATCCACTGTAAAAAGTTATGGTTGAGAAAAGTCTTAGTTGTTGTCATTGGAGATCATTCATTTGAAGTTACCAACACGTGTTTCTTTCAACACATGCTGGTGGGGGGGCGGGGAGACAGTTGCTACTCTGCTCTTTGAAAGACAAAATCTGTGGGGTTTTATAAGAAATTTTCCTGAAATTAGACTTGAGAAAAGAGAGCTCTGGTTTTCTCCAATTGGTCATATATTTCACATGGTGAAAGTAGCATCTCTGATATGTCTTTTCTG